GTAGATCATCATACTAACTTACTAAACTGTAACAAAAAAGGTAATAATTCTTCCTTTTGTATTTAATTTGCATATTTTTGAACAAACATTTATCCACATGTTATACTTAACAAAATAAAATCGTATGAGATTTCAGTATTTAAAATTAATATTGAAGAGGGAATTTATCCTCATAAAAACTTGAACTCGAAATCTTCTACTACTGAAATAATTAAACTTACAAATTTTCCTATATCTAATTTAAATTGTTCATTTCAAAGAGCTCCTCAGAACGAAATATTCTAAACAATATCATCGTTTGATCCCTAAATTCATGCCTACAATTATCGTTAAAAAAGGATAGAAGTATATTCCTTTTGCGAGTATCCAAGTCTTTTATTTTTACTGTAACTCGATCAGGGCCCTCGGGTGAATTGATTTTCCTTCGCGATGATTTCAAAGGAATGTTTTCGTAAAGATTTGTGCGTTATCCTTTTGCGATGGAGATTAGCCCGTTTCGATTAAATAGCTCGCATACCGACGAGATTTTCGTTTTTTTCTTCTCATCTGGAAGCGAATCTTGGACGAGCGAGACTTTTCCAAGGGTCCAGTCATACACGGCGCTGACCGAACGCTTCTCGAGGCTAATACCTTCCGATTGACTACGCTCATCCCTTAATGAAATTCTTTCTACTCGGGCGCGACCCGTTCGTTGGCTTGGCTGGCTTTGCCGTCGAATTTTCTCATTATTACCGATCCCTCGTCCCTGATCTCCGTTTCTCAGTCACTGCTATTCTTACAAGGGGACTTCCCCGCTGGATCCACCAATATTTAAATCAGCTTATGCACAGTGATAGAGCTTGGAATGCTAAAGATAATTATACACAGTTCTGTAAACAAGTTATTTAAACTCGTAACAATGACATACGATAAATTCAATGTATACATACATATAGTGCGTGAAACTATACAAATTTTGGGTGATTTTTATTGTTTCTTTCCATGGCTCGGTAATGTAAAACATTTGATTGATAAGGCAGGTCGCTTCGTTGGCAACGTGGAGTGCTCTGTTGGTAAATTCTTGGATGGAATAGGGTTCTACGTTCCCGAGTCTTGCCGACAGGATGCACTACGTTAACGACAAAGTACTTTACTTTACCAACCAGCTGACACAGTTCCAAATAGTATTTAGAATGCACCGAGTAAATAGCTGGTAAAGTTTTAATCTGGAATATTTTCTAAACTATTCTATTTTCTAAACTTGGCATTTGAGACTGTGTCGCTGATGAAACGCACGCTTCGACGTCAGCGATCTTATTGGAGAAATCGTCTTGTTAGTCGATCAGGTAGATGAATTCGATCGTTTAGCTCGTCGTGGATCGAACTCGTTGGGAGATACGAGGACTCGGTTGGATACCAGAACGACAACGTGTTCAGTCAACGGTGTCTTGGAAACTACGGTTCTGGCTAGTCGTATTGAGCAATCTCGCGGCGTGCTGCATTAAAATTAGCCACAATCGGAACGCACGATCGCTCGCGCAGATTATAATAGTATATTAATTTATTGATTATCGACTGGCCGCGATGCAATGCGGTATTCATAGAATTTACTATCAGTCCCGGGGACATTGAATGCATGCATTAAGCTCGGGCCGGCCAGCGCGCCGATTTCACCGTCACGGAGATCGACCACAAAATTTCCATTGCAGCCAACCTTTTCACCATTATACGAAAAAACAGGAAAAAAACAAGAAAAACATTTCTTTTCAGACTTAGCGAAGGAAGGAAAATATCCGAGGAGCAATATTATCGAATAGACATTGTTTAATAATCATCGACCACAAAATTTCCATTGCAATTAACCTTTTCAACATTACATGAAAAAAAAAGGAAAAACATGAAAAACATTTCTTTTCAGATTTATCGAAGAAATAAAAATATCCGAGTAGCGTTATTGAGTAGCGGTAACTATTCGATGCATGTATGTGGCATTTTGTTATTTATAAAGAGGTTTTTAAAAGAGGCTCTAGAATTTAGTGTTTTAGTCAAATATAAATGATATTGGTAAATAATATGGATAAATTTATTCATAACATATTTGAATAAATATATGCATCATAATTACGTTGACAAGAGTATTCCGTTATCAAATAGCAAAATCCCAAAGCTCTCTTTGGAAAAACTTTTAATAAGGTTTTTGTGGATCCCGCGATAATCATTTTATAACTTAAGTCAAGCGACACTGTACGTTTGAAAGAAAATTGCTCAGTAATTTCATATTCTTTCATCGAGCAGTTTTGCCGTAGTATTATGATGAATTTTATCGACTTCATTTGCATATTGAATTCCGCAGCGAATTGTTTCGATCGTAAAAGATTCAACGAAAGTGGTTTCTGTGTAAAAAAAAAAACTTTCACCTTAGGCTATTCAAATTTTAATTAAATCGAAAAACTCATTCGTCGATCATTATCGAATTTTTATCCTCGAATTTGATGTTTTCAAAGTGGAGTATTTGTAAGTATATACTGCTCGCGCACGAGAAGTGTGAATCTGACGTAAATTTTACTGTGTAACCAGAAAATGGCCCTTTGGTTCGTAATTTTAAAGAAATAGAAACATTTATGTTAGTTGTTAGATTCACTTTTCACACGTCGGAAAAATAAAAGTCTGAATAAATGCCATTCTCAATTATTATCGTATACAAACTCTTATTTTTGTGAATTTAGCAAATAATTGTAAATGCAATAATTGGAAAATGACGTGATTTATATAAATAGTTGCAAGCTTCTCAGAAAAAAATATTTTTCCAAAAAAGTAAAACATATGGTTGCATTTGGTATCGAGCATTTTATTATAACTTACTGTATTATTTGTTTACGATGTCCCCTATGTCAAATACTTAAAAATTCACAAATTTTCTAAACACAACATCAAGTTAAACAAATTTTCGCCGTAATTACGGTCAAAGACGCGTTAAATTTTAAAGTTTCACCTTTAAACCTGTGTCTTTCTAAGGAGGCAACAATTTCTGTGGAAGATTTATCGCGATTTAAAGCGATTCTTGTACTTCGCCTCGTTTAATACGACATCGAACTTCCATTTTGCAGGGAATGCATGCTTGACACGTGTGGAATGTGAGAAAAGTCTAGAGGTAATGCAAAGTGCATAGGCGGACGTTAAATGAGCGTGGAATGTGTAGAAAAAGTGCCACAATAATTCATTCTACTGTTTCCTGAATTTCATACGCAATCCACGCAAATCTCACACTCATTTTAGCCATTCCCCACGCATTTCAAGTATATTCCACACCTATACATTGTTGCAGGCTTTTCTCAAATACCACATACATTCGATGCACTTTTCTTGTAAATCCTCTGTTATACGTGTTATAAGTGTAGGCGATATTGGAAAACACTACTAAAAATTCACTGCACTGTTTTCAATATTTTCACACATTTTACACGAATTTCATTTCTTGCATAGTTAACATTTGCTTCTGAAATCTTTTATAGTTTCCACAATCTATTCTCCTACATCTCACACACGATCCAAATTTGCTCCAGAATTCATTTATACTTATCACATTTATTCCAGATTTTTTCATACATCTCACACTAACACATTATCCAAACTCACTCCAGAATTCTTTTATACTTTTCACATTTATTCTAACTAATAACCCAGACTTTCTCATCATACATCTCACACTAACCACATTATCTCACACTCACATAATTCAAACTTATTCCAAAATTCTTCTATATTTTCCACATTTATTTCAAACTTTTTCTCACACTCATTATCCAAACTTACTCCAGAATTCATCTATACCACATATTTCGCATATATCTCATACGCATTCTAGACTTGCTCTAAACTTATTCGACATTCTGTACATATACAACATACAACTCCTACAAGCTGTAAGTCTGATAATTCGTGTAAATTCCTTGTAAAACGTTAAGTCAAAATATAATGGTTGCTTTTTTAATCGCGATGACTTTGCAAAGAAAAGTCGTAGGCCTGTTTAAAAAGACAGAATTAAGGTCAAACTTTAACGTTTAATGTTCCGTCGATGAAAGTTAATGAAACAATAATTTGCACTCCGTGTATGTGTTTAAGATTGTAACATTTTTAACGATTTGACATGGTTGGGTTAGAAGTGACTCTACTCTACTTGCAAAAGCAAGAGCAGGCAGAAGATTAGAATTTGCTAAATTTAATTTGAAAGCCAAGGTTTCTAACTTCAACATACTTTTCTTTGCACCATTGACCAGTCATTTTTCGCAAATTTGAATAATTTTCAAGTTCGTTATTTTTTAGACGATTATTATCCATATAATGATAGGATGTCAATGCCTTACCTGACTTTTAGGTTGTTGTTTTATCTGGTGCATAAATAAACACTATTCCACTAACACTACTTGATACAAAAGGACATTGAATATTTTCTGTTTAACAGAATGAACATTTATTATACTAAAAATGGGCTGTCTTATTTTTCATACTGTTAGAAAATTAATAAAAGTAATTACTTAATAAACAACAATTTCATGTAGGAGGTGCCAAGGAATATTCCACTAACACTACTTGATATGAAAGAACATTGCATATTTTCTGTTTAACAGAACGAACATTAATTGCATTAAAACTGGCCTGCCTTATTGTTCATACTACTAGAAAGCTACAAAAAAAGCGACTTTCTTTACAAATATCAATGTCACATAAAAAGTGACACAAGTTTTCTAAGTTAATTTTAATTACTTTTCCAACGTTCAACAGCCTCTTCAAGCCTAGGAAATACTCTCCATTTACTCAACGCGTACGCGAAAAGCCTGATCGGTGATAGGTTAGAGGTATTTGACGCATTCGATGTTAGTTTGACGGCATATCGTCGGTCGTCGATCGATGCAGGTTAATTTTCGGTAAGAAATCTAGCCATTCCACGAGGTTAGAATCGTGGTAGTCGAAACAAGGAGGATCTCGGTAAGGCGTATCAGAGAGCGAAGGAGGGTACTCACCCGTATGCAGGCGGGTATGTTGTTGTACATGGCTGAGCTGCTTGAACCTGCGGTCGCAATAGCTGCATTTGTACGGTTTCTCCCCGGTGTGGACCCTGATGTGCTGTACGAGCTGGTGGTTGCTGGAGAATGACTTGAGGCATTGCTGGCACTGGTGCGGCTTTACCTCGTTTCCTGCGATCATGCCACCCGGACCGACGCCGATCGGACCAAGACCCGCCAGTCCGCCTGCCACGCCGCCGCCTGGCCGACCCGTCAGTGCACCCGCCGCGCCCAGCTCCCTCGCGTGCATCTGCATCGCGCTCTTGTGCATGAAGATCTGCGAGAAGAACTGCCGGGGTTAGTTGGTACGCTGCACTTTTGGTCGAGCAACGGAGGATGGCAAATCGTACGAGGACCTGACCGCCAAAGACCCTCGACGATCGTCATCGCATCCTGGAATTCGTCGCGCGCAGCCGATGCGCGCTACCTTTGCCCTTAGACATTCGTTATTTTCAGCATAGATTGCGTTTGATCCATTCTTTAATGGAAACGTGTTACTTGGAGATTTAGAAATTTCTCGGGTTTGTATGGATTTATTGTAGTAGTACAAGATGGATTGATGTTGGAGGAATTTGGGATTTTCAGTTTCAATGTGGGATTTATGAGTCATTATAATTGGGATTTTGTAGGATGGTTGATGTTTATAGAAATTGATATGGTAAGGATACAGTAGGGTATAAAGAAATTTTATTTATCTTCGCATGACACAAAGTAAGTATAGTCAGTGTAATAAGTATTCGTACAAGAACTATTTATTTTAAATTGGTTGCTGTACGAATACTTCTTACACTGGCTGTATATCAAAATTTGATTAATAGAGAGCAAGTTAAGACTAGGACAAATTGAGAGTTTGACGAATTTGAAATTTTTACCTTGAATGTGGGATTTGTAGGTCACTGTTATTGATATTGATATCGGGTGGTTGATGTTTCTACATAGAAGTTGATGTATTAGGAGTACAGTGGTTTATAGAGTATTGTATCTTTGTATGATAGAGAATAACTATACAGGACTAGAAATGCCCATATTCTTCACGCGTTAAGAGCAATTAGGATCTGTGGAATAAATTTAACCTTGGTGAAACTAGTAAATCAAGTTATTTTAGAGAGTAGTACTTTAGACAAATTTGATCCTGTCTTTTTATTACTGAACACAGGTAAACTGAGTACAGGTCTTCTTATTATCGAATATGGTGTTCAGGAAGCATTCAACAAAATTAGGATTTGTGATCTAAAATTAATTGGAAGACAAAGAAATTAACACTTTATCTATAGGCCTATTATTTAGAAACAGTCTATAATTCAGAAATGAATGTTTCTAAATTAGTATATGTTAATATACTGTTTCCAAAATTTGAATAGGTTTAGTAGACAACCAACACAATGAATAAATTGACGAAATTCCAGAAGATAAACACTGGAATTAAAAAGCCTATAAATTCTCTTTCGACAAATAAAGTGTTAACAGAGGAAGTTAGAATTTAGGGGAACATAGAATAATGTCCTTTGGATACAAAATAAAGAACTTGAAGAAACTTTCACAGAACAAGTTACGATATGCATTTTCATACTGTAAAGATTATAATACCCGATACTACGTAATATTAATATAAATTTCTAATACATAATAGTATAGTATCACAATAATCAGTATCATAATATTCAGTAAATAAAATTCCTCCAGGACATAAGATTTGTAGTGAAAAAGGAATTAGGATTTAGAGAAGCTAGGAAATCAAGCAAATCTTTAAGGAAATTTGTATGTTTTTGAAACGATGCAATAGGAAAGAGTGGCTCGCGTTCTAAAGGCTTAACAGAATATTTGACAGAACACTGTCAGATATGCTTCTCTGCAGGGCATAGGTAGTCGCCGCAGCTTCGCCTTGTTTTGTTTCGCGCGGGCGGTTCGAGCGATCTTCGTGGTTTTCTCATGCAATTAATATAGAACGACGAGAATCGAAAAGCACAGCCGTGTGCTGCGCGCCGATACTGTTTGCTGTTCGAGTTATTCATAAGCGAACTCGCGGTCCCCTGTCGTGCTCCGTGAATCGACTCGTTGCCACCGACTGCGTCGGGTCGCCATTCACTCCCCGATTTCACGTTCCGTATTAACGCGATCCATTAATTAAAAGTTCACGTGGGATGACGTAATTCAGTCGGTACTTACGCGGTACTCGTTCGATACGTCGCACCGGTACATCGACCAATGGATAAAAATCAAAAAACGAACTATTTTTTAATAAGTTATTTACTATCTGAAGTCCATAAGTAGGCCGTAAATTACACTCTGGTGGGATTATCTCATTGTTTACATTTTTTTTTTAAGTTGATACAATGGCCAAAGAGTGGGAATTAAGTCTATTTGCAATAAACACTTTATTAGTTTTAATTTATGTTTCTTGACCTTAGGGAGGAAAATGAAACGTGGGAAGCGATTAAAACGAAAAAAGTGATCTTTTTATAACAAACAAGACCCAAGAATACAATAAAATCAATTTCTTTGAAGTTTTAAACTTTAAAAACACATGACAAAATAACATCTAATATCATTTCGTACATATTGCATATTCTTGCAAATTAGGGTTTTATCTGCATCTTGGTGCGTCTTTTTTGATTATATATTCTTTTTCTTGTTTTACTGTTGTTGGGTATGAGAGCCGCGGATACTACAATAATATGTTTAAGCTTCATCGATTGGTAGCTTTTAGACAAAACTTGATAATATTTTTTACTTTCGTAACACTAGTATTTTACATATAGATAGACTTAACGATGTAATAAAAGAAGGAATAATTTAATCTTACGATTTCTCCACTGCAACTGAAATTATTTTTGTTTCCAACACACAGGTTGTTCCCACGAAATAATAATTTTCTAAGCCACTTTCATCATCACTGCTACCTTGAAATAATGTTCTGACGAATACTATAATTTTTTCTTTTATTGGTCAAAGAAAAGACTGAATGCTAAAACCACGTGGAACTAGAATCTAAGTTATAACAGTCTGATCTTCGTCGTGGTATATATTGATGTGTCAGAGAGACGCACTTCGAGTACAACGCCAAGCTTTGTCAGAGCCTCTGAGGAGTAGTTCAAATCTACACTTATAAAGAGGTAAAATTTGTTTGTAGGTAGGTAGGTACTCTCTGGGACTACTGAACCGATTCTTAAAATTTGTTTAGTAACAAAAAACTACGCTATCCCTTAGTAACATAGTCATAGATTTAAATATGTAATGCAATACGCCGCTGGCACGGAAATATCTGCTCCAAAGGTCATAGTTTTCGTAGCAGGCTCATTTCAGAACATCATTCGCGACCATCAAATTCGGTATTTGTTCTTTTCGTAGCAGGCTCATTTCAGAACATCATTCGCGACCATCAAATTCGGTATTTGTTCTTTTTTTAGAATAATCCGTTTCGTTTTCCACGAATCGAATAAGAAGCGCATAACAGCTGGCCATAGGAAGAGGTCAACGGCCACGGGGTCATAGTTTTCGTAGATTCCGTTCAGGTCTCAATGATACACCATAGGTGCTAAGTAGCCTCATTTCAGGACATCATTCGCAATCATTCGATGTTTGTTTTTTCTTTAGTGTAATCCCAGTTTCGTTTTTGGTTGAAGGAAGCACACATCACCTATCGACGCGGAGTGGTTTTCGACGAATCGAATAGGAAGCGCGTAACAGCTGGCCAGAAGGCAGGAGTCAACGTCCGCGGGGTCGTAGTTTTCGAAAGCAGCAACGATCCGATCGATGTTTTTGTAATCGCACGCATGGCCAGGCATGTACGTATAATACATGTTACTCGCACGATAGACTCTCGAGGCTGGGAAGTTGCGTACTCGACGTGTTCCTTGACGTGTTCCTCGGCGCGATGAGGAGGAACGCAAAATTGGTGGAAGGGCCGTGCAATGGTTGCGCCGAGTGGAACGACGAGTAAACGCTTGATTTCGGGTTCTCGTCGAAGGAACAGGTGTTGCTCCTGTCGCTGGTGTGGGTGTAGGTGAACGAACGAAAGGGTTAACGTTTAAACGAGCGTACAGTTGGTGGCAAAAGCAGCGTGAGAGCGAGAAAGAGATTCGGCAGCGGGCTAACGGTAGAGGCCCAGGGAACTTTGTCCGGAATTAAAGAAGGGAGAGAGGCCAGTGTTCCAGAACGGACGCGAAGGAGGGACGCGCAGCGCCGGTGAGACGGACTGCGGATTTTATTAAAATATGTTAAAACTGTAATTAAAATCGAAAAATCTCGCGAGAAGTTTTAAGAATCTTAGACTGCCGGGCACCCTTCCCGTGTGAACGACGGAGACGCCTGTGGACGGGAGTAGAGGCGCAGACAGAGAATTGAAATTGTCACCGAGGGTTCTCAAGTTTCCGCGACTTGCAACCCTTTCTTTTCGCGAGGACGTCGGTGGATATTTGACGGGCGACCTTCGGCGCTGGGCATCTCTGATTCTTAATCCCCGTGAGAGAGGGAGAGGCTGCGACGCGATTTTATTTCTCCTTTTTTCGCTCGGCGCCTAGACGCGCTTCTTTCGCCTCGAGACGAATCAATCCGAGTCGTGTTCCTCGAATGATTTGAATAAAATTCCTCTGTTTCAGAGATATCGGTGTCGGCGGTCTAGTCGTGGCGCAATGGGGCTGGTACCCTCGATGATACTATGTGTCAGAGAACCGTTCACTTGGCGTAACTGGTCGAAGAAAATCGATAAGACAAATATTTTTTGCTGTATCAATCCTTCGATTGCATATATGAATCTAGAGTCAGAAGAGGAAGCTATGAATGTAGATTACAGGTATATCTGTTAGAGACTTAATAAACATTCTTTTTTAAGGAAAGTCTAAGCGTTATTCGTTTCAACCCTTTCTTTGAATCGCCTTCATTTTTTGTATACATCTCTAATTGTCCATAGTCCCCAACAAACCAAATGGTTTAATAATAAGAAATAATAAGAAATTGTACTGATTTGTAATTAAACTGTATTAAGTAGACTGCGGATCTTTATGGCAAAATAAAATCTTCATGAACGTACCTACAAAAAATGGACCTAAATAGGAATTTATTTTATCCTACAAATATTATAACATGAACTTTACTTTCAATCTTTTTTATATTCTTGCATATTGTTTGCATTTTGTAGTTTCTTGTACATTCAAATTTTTTATAAATGCATAAAGATCCGCAGTCTAGTAATAAGAATATATTTAATCGTTAGGTTATCCCCCCGATCAATACAAGTAAAATGAATTTGCTCGTCGAATCTATTCCGACGATCGTAAGTGAATATCGTCA